TACAGATATGATAAAATAAGATAACAAAATATATAAACATATAAATAAATAATTAATAAATTTAAAAATAAAATAGATATAACAACACTTATCGCCGGAAGAATGACAATCTAATTTACATTACAAAAGTCGAAGACCAGCATAATCACAAACTTGTAAAGAATATTACTACTCTTGCATCCAGTTATAGAAGATTCACCTCAGAAATGTGTGATGATATAAAATTGCTTGCAGCGTGTGGTGTGCGTCCTAGTACGATTGTTGAAATTTTACAATATAAAAATACAGAAAAATATATCCACGACAAAAATGTTTATAATTTGTTTAGTTCTATTCGTCGCCATTAAACCCATTCTAAAAGTGATGCTAGTTCGATATATCTTGATCTCATAATCCAGTGGCAAGAAAATCTGACTTTTCATGTTGATGCGCAGTTTGAAGGCCAAGATAACCACCTTATTCGGCTCTGCTGGATGAACTTCTCTCAACAAAAATTATGGTCACGTTTTCACGACATCATCCTTCTTGATACAACTGCGAAAACGAATCGCCATTTGATGATTCTGTATGTCATAATTTTGGTGGATAATCACAACTGCTCCCGCCTTGTAGCTACAGCTATTCTTTCGGATGAGACCAAGGATAGTTTTACATGGTTATTTAGAAGCCTCCTCAATGCAACACATGGATTAGCGTCATGTCTGCTATATACAGATGCTGACCCAACGATGATTTCCACGGTAAATAACTCCTGGTTGATGACAAAACATCATTTTTATCTATTTCACATCCGAAAAAATCTTGAAAAACATTTTTTGGACAAATACCATGACAAAAAATGGAACGAATTTTTTGCAGCATTCTGCCATGCACGTAATAGCTGTGTAAAATTGCTTTTCGAAGAAAAATGGACAGCACTATTATTCGAATATGATGATGCCGCTAACTACTTATAACATCAACTTTATCCCTGTCAGGAGACCTGGGTATTGTGCTTTACGCATCGTGCATTCAATGCTGATATACAAAGCACACAAAGGATAGAATCGTACAACGGAATTATTAAAAATTATATTAACAGATCTTCGTCCCTTACAGAACTCGAATTCATAATTGAAAGATTGTTATAGAGGAAAAGCTGTTTTATAAGTTTGAAGGAGGTTATAAGCAAGCTTCCTATAAGCCAAAATGAAAATTATCATGATTATTATTTCAAAGCAATCGATATGTCTTGCCAACGCTATTTGACACCTGCAATTCTCAAGCTACAACAAAATGAAATGAATCGCAGCATGCATTATCGATGCCGGATAACTAATTTGGAAGAAGAAAGGATATAATTTCTTATAATTTTTTGACATTTATTGATTTTTTTCCTTTATTATTGATTTTTTTCCTTTATAATAGGCCAATCCCAATTCACCAGAAGGCATGTTTTCGGAAGATATGTTCGACACTTGTGTAATCGAGCTTGATAAATTAATTATGGACCTTAATTCAGAAAGAATTCACGAGCTTTGGCGTGTTACTTCTATTAATAAAACAAGCGAATATTTTGTAGTATTATATGATAACACCATACACCTCTATACATGTCTAACTTTAATCAATTGCGATCTTGTATACCATCATTTCTTTGCAATAATGTTAGTTTCGCCAACTGCTAAATTTAATATTAGACTTGTTCCGCAATGTTGATATACGGACTCAATTATGGAAGAGGATCCTTGTTTTCAAGATAAGAAAATGATTTCAACAATTTCTGGTCAAGAATTCAGCACCGTAGAACATGATATTGAAGTCAACTTTTCACACTTAGAAACCATCCGAGGGAATTACGTTTTTACCAAGAAGGTTTGTGAAGAGATGACCCAGAAACAGCAGTATAGAAAAGGATTTGGTATTATGAAGAAAACACTGAATCTGGCCATCGCAACGGGCAGAACGGAAGAATTTTATGAACTTCATTTGAAGTTAGCTAAGAAGATGGAATCTGAAATCATTGGCCAAGTTAAAAATGGGGATAATATCACCAAGTTTGCTTTCACTATCAACAATCCTATCAGCATAAAGAAAAAAGAAAGGAAGCCTAAATATAATAAGGATAAAAAAAGGGAGATGATCGAAATGGACCAAAGTAACAAAGAGAACAGCTGGAATTCTGAAGATCTCAGTCATGTGGATGCAAATAAGAAGGGCAAAAAAAGAGCGGCATCCGAACCTGATCAAGATAATACAAGTTGTGAAGAAGTACAACATAAAAAGGTCCAAAAAATATTACAAGATAATAGGTCTAATGATCTAATAAATGGAGAAACCAGTACTAAGAGAGTATATAATATTTGTAACGAAAAAGGGCATAATGCACGAACGTGTATAAAAGGGAAGACTATTTCCAGCTAACTTCGTGAAGGAAAAGTGAGAAAAAAATATTTTTTGTGAAGAGAAAGTGGAAAAAGAATATATCATAATGGCATTTTTTTTAGCAAAGTTATAATAAACAAAGACAATATATCACAATTTTTTTTTGATCTTTTGAG